AGGGTAATCACATGCCCTCGCCAATATCCAAAACCAACACATAAAAGAAACTTTTACGTGTAATAACTAAAAGCAACCTTGAATACAATAGTTAATCTCCTACGTGTAGCTGCTTTGTCAAGGCAGCAGCTGCCTCAGTTGCGTCAACATAGCTGTAGCTACAGTGGCCTTGTAGCTGCCTGCAACTAGGCAGACTGTATATTTGAACTTTTTTTAAAAAATTAAATTTTTACAGTTTTTTATTTGTTGCTCGACTCGTCACGGGTCGACCTGTGTGGCTTGTGGAGCCATGCTAATGCCCCAAAATGAGCTTGGCCAGAGACTTAGCTCGATTCTACCGAGCCATGAGCCGAATCGGGTGTTTTCCCAGTCGAGCTACGGGTCGTCCGAGCTGGCTAGCTAAATTGCCACTCCTACATACTATCGAAGAGCATCTCTTCCACTTTACCTTGGATGAATTTCATATCTCGTTTCTTTGTTCTTCTTCTAGTTACTCTGTCAACGACTATGCTAAACGTTCAACTTTTCTATTTCAAATATTGAAATTTTTTGAAAACTCTAGAGAACTTTGCCAAAACTAAAAAATGATTTACTAATTATTTATATTTTTCAAGAAAAAAATTGAAAACTTTATTATTAAAGACTCAAAACCTTGTCCACATTTCTGAAAACAAAAGTCCCACTTCGAAAAAAAAAATATTATCATTGAAACTGAATATTTAATGCTAGAGAAAAATAAAATATAGTGACCAATAAGGTGACAGCTAGTTTGGGATAGTATATAGATGTGTGAATTTATGCAATAAATTACTATGAATAAATTTTGGGATCAAAATGTGTTTCGAATCGAATCTATTCACATCCTTTCTTTGTTGGGCTCTGCTTAAACAAACTAGGTGGGTTAACAACACATTTATTATGATCTACGACTTTTATTGAAATAAATAAATAAATAAAATTTATAAAATAAATAAATATATGTCCAATGACACTTTGACATTAAGCACCTTTTCTTTTTTTTTTTTTGTGGAGATTAAAATCAGATTTTTAATAGATTTTGATAGAAGCTGATGAAATGTATAGTCGAAAAGTTGTGGATCTCATTAAATGTGCGGTTAAAATTAATTGTTGACTTTGATTTAAATTAAAATTTTAACTATTCTATTTGCACAACCGAGATTAACCACCTCTCACATGTGTGTGGGGTCCGCATGTTAAAAAAAAGACCCTCATGTAAGTGATTGTTAACTTCGATTGTACGACTAGCATGACTCAACAAACAAATAGAGAGTCAAAACATATCACAATCAAACCGACTCCAATGAATTTCAATAAAGAAGTCAATTCTCCATTGCCATGACCATAAATGTGGATGCTATGTGCATTAATTTCAGATGACGAGATCCTCTTTTTCACTCATCTACTGTAAACACAGAAAAATGATAAATAGCACAATAGGTCTGCAATCTATTGTATGAGTAGAAAGTTGGTCCCCAATCTTTAAAATTGAGCAAGTTTATAATTAATCCCTATTAAAGAACTTGTCTAACTATCCATTAAATGGTCACGTGTTCCTCACGTGTCTAATTTATGAAATTAGAATTTCATTCTGGGTTGGTGCATTAAAATTTTAAGCCACGTTTTCATGATGATCATGTGACAATTTAACGAATATTTTTATCAGTCTTCGTTGCTAGTGTCTGACTCTGCAACTATAAGGGAAAGTTGGGAATCAATTTGTTCATTTTAAAGGCTGGAAACCAACTTAGTACATTGACAACAAATTGGGGACCAGTGATGAAATTTTCCAATAAAAAGTTGAAGGCCTTTCTCTTCCTTTCCTTATATATTTCCTTGCACTCTCCCCCATTTTCTACCATCTTTCACAAGTTGAAACTATAAAAGAAGAAAAAAAACTGAGAAAATGGAAATGGAGGCGGCATACATGTCTAGTGGAATAGGAGGAATGGAGGGCGGACTTTATGGCGGCGAGAAACGAGTAGTGGTGGTGGCTAACAAGAGAACGATGAAGTTTTCGAACTTGATTTCCAAGTTTTTGGCTCTTGCGCCGAAAAAGCCTGGAACTAAATATGCCCAACGAGGACAACATAATGTACATAAGCAGACACGCGATTAAAAAAAAAGGGACAAGAAAGTGTTGGAAGCATGTAAATTTAAATTCTTTAAAATTGAAGATTTATGTATTAAGTATTTACTTTTTAGAATTATTTATTTTTATAAATTGAATTGATATCCACTCTATTATGAAGAACCTGCTTGGTGGGGATTAAAATCAAATTTTTAATACATTTTGATAGAAATTGATGAGATATGTTGTTTAAAAGTTGTTGGACCCATAAAATATGTGGTTAAAATTAATTGTTGACTTAAATTAAAATCTAAATTTTAATTAGTGCCAAACGGGGGCTAAGTACTTTTATCGAGTTCATATCAAACATGCTTTGAATGTGAAAATTGTACTTTTTGAACAATATTAGAATATATAGGGGCTATATGTAATCGTAAACATATTATTGAGACTTGAAGTTCTCTTTCCTAAAATGTTAATAAATAGGGTAAGTCAATCTCCATTTAATTCTAAGATCATTTTCATATCTAGTTAATATGGGACTTTTGTTTGTATCTAACAATTTTTTTCTTGAACAAAGGTAAACATCATAATGGTCCACACAAAAATACCTTACAAGCGATGACATTTTCCGTCTGTCCTTTTTCAACCAAGAAGATTAGCATACATCATCTACGTCACGGTAGACTGGCTTATCATGGAAGCCCCATCACATCAAGAGTTTATCATCACGAAATTTTCTATTATCAGAGTTAATTGAGTACCACACTATCGTTTAGTTCTTTCGCATACATCAAAGATTCATCTTAAGCATCCTCATGACTTTGAATTACTTACCGGAACATGAAGTTTCGTCATAAAAAAAATGTTAAAAGGACAAAATAGAGTAGTTTAACCCATTCATCTTCAAACTAAACTTGAATTAATCCTTCCTTCCCTCTCTATATTAAAAGCCAACAGTGTTCACATTTGTGCAAACAAAAAAATTCCCATCTAAAAATATATATTATCTTTGAAACTGAATATTTAATGCTTGATATAAAATAAAATATACTAAACTAGTGGCCAATAAAGTGACAGCAAGTTAGGGATAGTCACATGAGACTAGAGATGTGTGAATTTATGTAATAGTCCAATTGGGAAGTGTCTTTTGTCAATAAATTAGTATGAACAAATTTTGGGATCAAAAGTTTGGGACAAATCTATTCACATCCTCCTGTTTTTCTAAATCTTAGCCAATTCCACTTCCATTACCCCGTGATCTGAATTTCTTGCACTCTTTTACAATGATATATTTGTAATTTAAAATAAAACTAGATGATATATAATTATATTTTAGTTGTTACCGTCATTTACTTGGATCGTCGACCGAAAGATCTACCAAAGGCAGCCAAGAACACCCCCAAATTTGACCTAAACCGACAAGAACGAACCAGTACTTAGCCACTATTTCAGGCCTAAGTCTACAAAGGTAAGGTTAACCAAGGTTGATTTTAGGGTACAACCAAGGAAGAAGAAGAAGAATGGCTCCAACAGAAGACAGAGAGAATGAAAAGACAGGAAGAGTCTCAAAGAAGGAAGCCCACGTGAATATAGAAAGAGTCGGCCAAGGAAAATATATAAGCCAAGAACAAATCTCAGCCATCCATATGATCCAACGGTCACAATAGAAGTAAACAAACACAATCCGGGTCAATACCAAAGCTACCAATAGATGCATGACAACTAAGCAGCTAAGGCCCA